CATTATTAAACAATCATAATTACATTTCATTACATTTGTTTTGGATATTTGTATCTTTACTTTAGCAACCAATTGCATAATGTACATTTACATATCTTTTCTTGCACTTTTTTTTTTCAAGTCACCAAAAAAAACATTTAGTTAATAAAATATATAAGTTTAAAGTCTCCAAAAATTCAAGCGGGTTAGCAAAAAACTACTTAAGCAAGTCAGAAAGAAAAGCTTGTGAAAAGGGACCGTTTTATCTTCAAGTGTGCACCAAGCCTGATAACATGACATGCTCCTCACCATGTGCACACTTAGCCTTCAGCTTGTCCACAGCTGTGTTGAGACGATGCATGCTATATATGGCAGCTAAAACAAGCGCCAACCCCATGGCTAAAAGAAGGATGTAACAAAACATTATCGATCCAACCAAAGCCGAACCGGACGGCAGAAACCACACAGATACCCAGCCTTTGTGAATCTTGTGGTGAACATAAGCAGGCCCCTGCTGTACTACCAATATGTCATAGAAATATTTTGAGTATGTTGTGGTTTCTAATGGGGTGGATTTCTCAAATGGATTGACTGAAGTGTAATGTGATGTTTCGGTCTCTTTGTATGAGTCAGTTTGTGTTTGCAATATAGTTGTTGCTCTTTTTTCATCACAATAACTGAATTCGTCCTCAAGGAGAGAGTGGAGATGACGCAGTAATTTAAATAACGGATTGTGACATATTACATCGTCTCTGTCAAGAACAACATGCACATTCTGCTTGAGCCATCTTGTGAGTCCCCTTATAGCACAATCACAATCCCAAGGGTTTCCACTCAGAGTAAGAGATTTCAATACTGTATTTGACAAAAAAATGTCTCCTGGAAGTGAATTGAGATTGTTGTTTTTCAAATCCATGGTCACAACTGATGTAAGATCCTGAAAAATGTTCCCAGGTAGGCGAGACAATTTGTTGTCATTGAGCAAGAGTATGTTCATTTTGGTTAGCATGTGAAAAAGATCAGGATGAAGATATTTAAGGCGGTTGTTTCTGAGGGAAAGCTTTTTAAGATTGGGAAGACAGCAAAAAAGATCTGGTGGTAAGTACCATAGTTCATCATTTAAATGCAAGTTCAACTCCACCAGCCCAGACATGTTGGAAAAGAGATTTCCAGGAACACTTGTAAGGCTGGTATTGTACAAATAAAACTGTGTAATATGAGGCATGTGGCCCATCAGTTCATCTGGCAAAGATAACAATGGATTACTGTAAATTGTTAGTTTTTTGAGTTCAGGCATATTATAGAAGCTCTTGCTAGGGACATACTGAAGGTGGTTGGAGGACAAGGTGAGTTCTGTCAGATTACCCAGTGACCAAAACACTTGAGGCGGAAGGTGGTTGATCTGGTTGTGATGGAGATTCAGAGATTGGAGGTTCACAAGCTGGTCGAAGATCCCTCTCTCCAACAGCACCAGCTCATTATGGTAGATCCTGAGCCTCTGAAGTTTGGTCAGGGAGCGAAACATTGTTGGATGCAGTGTCTTTATGTTGTTCCTACCCAGGTTCAGAATGATTAGGCTGGTTAGCCCATCAAACATATCAGGGGGAAGATTTCTGATTCTGTTGCTGCTCAAATCCAGAACGATTAACCCGTTGAGCCCCTCGAACATCTCCGGACCAATGACCTCCAGCTGGTTGCTATCTAGGTAAATCTCCTCCACCACGCTGAGAGGACTGAAGACCCGAGCAGGAAGGGTTGTTAGATCGTTTCCTGTAAACTTGAGAGACTTGAGCTGAGGAGATACATGGAAGGCCAGGGGATGGATGGTGTGTAGGTGGCTGTTGGTCAGACCAAAACGCAGCAAGAGGGTCTTATCTGCCAGACTTTTCTCAGTAATAACGGTCATGTTTGCCTTGTCAAGCAGAAGTGTGTACGTGTGGACCCCCAGCTGCTGCAGCATATCTGTAGCACTGCGGCCGCTGCAAGAAATGTAACTAAGAGTTCGGCACTGACAGAGATCAGGGCAAACATTGTTGCAGTGAAGGAGAGGCGGTGTGAGGAGGATGAATATCATCCACAGAAAACCTGTACAATTAAAAAAGAAATAAAAAATGCATTAACTAAAATGCTTAATATATTCTCTAAGATGTTAGTTTTTATAGATATTTATAAATTTGTTAGCATTAGGCATAAATATCTGTTTCAAGGAGAAGCAACTTGTTAAGCATTTAAAATTGATTTAGAAAAGATCAAAATGACAAGGAGGTAAAAAAACAGAGGAGAAAGTTTTTAACCAACCTTTGACACAGAAGTCCATCATGGTCTGGTGAGAACAATGCTTTGAGCTGCACTGCTGTCTAAATGAGATGTGCATTCACTACATGTCAAGACTTCCTGCCTTCTTTTTCTCCGACACCACATTTTGAATGCTGATAATACAGCCATGGACAGACGAGGTTAACAAAGGGAGCTAAAATGTTTGATTAATTCATATGAAAAAGTATTTTAACAATTGATTTAACCAAATGGCATTTAAGGAATATATTTTTTGGTTTATGTTTTACTGATATTTTTGGGGATTTTGTTTTCTATGCATTCAGTAAAAGAAAGTATAAAAAAAAAATCTCATTTCCTGAGGTGGGCTTATCATGCAAGCAGCCATTTCTGTTTCCTCTTCTTAGCTTAGCTGAAATAGATCTTTTATATTTTCTGAAAAAACACTCTTCTGGGAAAAGAGCTACTGTCAGGGCTGGTAAACAACTGCAGTCTGCTAGCTGTTGATACCAGACTGCAAGTAAAGAACTGTTCTACTCATGCATTTGTTCTTGCTAGTTGAATGAATGGCTTCTAGTTGTTATTGAGTTACAATGTTGTTTTCTTTATTTTATACAGTTTATTTTACTAGACTCATTCATTTCATATGATTTCAAAGCACATCCTGTGAAGAATTCCTGTTAGAATAATATCTTTATAAAAACAGACAGGTCTCAACAGAACCACTTGATTCTAGGAGGGTCATCTGTTCATCTTCAGCAGGGCCTCAAAACCAAAATGCAACAGAAATTCAATAGAAATATATATATATATATATATATATATATATATATATATATATATATATATATATATATATATATATA